CACGACAGTTAACAGTTGCCAGTCTGAAGGTACCTTTTCACTGTTCCAAATCGTGTTAAATAGAGTAGCGAGTCCAGTCTACAAAGGGTCACTAGTAACTTTCAGCGAAGATGGAGGAAGGTCGTCGGGTCCGGGAGCCTTGTTTCGTTTCAAAACGGAAAGCTTATGTCGAATTCATACCAAAGTAGGTGTGACATCTATTTTCCACGTCGGCTAAGGCGACTTAGCAAGCAGCAATGCTGCAGCAGGCTTGCTGAACTGCTCTTCAATGTGTTCCCCGCCCAAAGGGCTAGTCGATGACACTGAGAATAGATCAAAGGTTTATCTTTCTTAGCTACTGTCTCACTAACAGAGATATTTCTTAGCTGGAATAGTACCCGGCCGTCCTAAATAGCACTGGCTTTCTCCATCTCACGGGCACTTGCCACCCACGGACATTCCCAATTAATTTGAAAACTTGTTGTCAGTCGTTTCAGGGTGTTGAGGAAGTGCAAAATTTCAGTATCCAACCGAACCTATTTGTGTGCTTTGATTAAGCTGATCGATGCCTCAGAGATCCATTCACAATTCAGACGTCTGAGGATTAGACGATGTGTCAGCAACCTTGGACCGATGCCAGGCGGCTCTTCTACTAGCTGGCCATTGATGCTGTCGGATAGTGCAAATCCGACTCCATGTTCTTGTGGTGCTATGGTGACGTTTCCTACTCAATAGAAGATCTAACCTACCCCATCTTCGCGTAGCTTGTATTGGGCAGCGAGCCGAGTCTCACTCAGCCTGGCGATATCAATGCCGCAGCGACTAAGTTCCGTGGCGACCAATGTAGTGCTTCGCTCGGGTCGTTAGATGGTATCCCGATCGAGCAATGTGCGTACTTTCCAGTATGCGATCTTGAGCGCTTTCCACCGAGGTATATGATTGTGTCGGGCACTCGCTGGGGCGCGAATTGGAACAAGTAGGATTGGTTAGGTAAAATAACAACTGGAAGAGAAAGAAAAGAGGAGGGAGGCACCAGTGCCAGCAGCGTTTTGCTTATTCACCCCGCTATATGCAGTCAATAAGGCGACCCTTTCTCCCACTGTGCGACGGCCGATGTAGCATGAGATTATCAGTAATAGTGGGTGATACAGTTGTCAGTGAAACTGATATACTACCATGGCGTCCACACCTAAACAGGAGAGCGACTCGAGTAATCAGCCAGTAGTTGATAAATCGTACTCCCGAAAGTCAGCGGGCCATGCTTCACGAGTTAATCGATTCATGCGGAGGTGTCCTGGGTCTTAGCTAGAAGAAAGTTGAAACCCTACTCGAATATATATATATATATATATATATATATATATATATATATATATATATATATATATATATATATATATTCGACAGGAGAGTCCGTGGTTGCTGTAGCTTGTGGTAGTGAGATCCTGACAGCTCATCCACTCGCTGATGCCTTGGACTTGCCAGCGACTCATGTCCTGGAAGCCTCCTCATGGGAGTCATTTGGTGTGAGTAGGGTTACAAGTTTCTTCTAGCTAAGAGCCAGGACAATCCGCATGAATCGATTAACTCATGAAGCATGGCCCGCTGACTTTCGGAAGTACGATTTATCAACTACTGGCTGATTACTCGAGTCGCTCTCCTGTTTAGGTGTGGACGCCATGGTAGTATATCAGTTTCACTGACAACTATATCACCCATTATTATTGATAATCTCATGCTACATCGGCCGTCGCACAGTGGGAGAAAGGGTAGCCTTATTGACTGCATATAGCGGGGTGAATAATCAAAACGCTGCTGACACTGGTGCCTCCCTCCTCTTTTCTTTCTCTTCCAGTTGTTATTTTACCTAACCAATCCTACTTGTTCCAACTCGCGCCTCAGCGAATGCCCGGCACAATCATATGTCTACCTCCACTGAATGACAGGTGAAGATAGCGAGCAAGTTTGTTAACCGTAGAAGGCTTAGATTCCCTTATGGAGCATGTTCTATCAACAGATCTCGAGTGACAGTACGATCCGAAGGCGCTACCGAGCACATCCATTAGTAGTTCGAAACATGAGGACAGAGGCTGAGATAATTGTGAGCCACCATCAGCCGCGGAAATGGAGAAAGAGAGCGGGTGGCTCGTCGCAGGTCACCCCTTGTTCCCTTGTAAGTGCTGCATACATTCTGCTTATGTTAACAGCTGTAGTGAAAGGCAGATCGAAAAGTGACTGCCACAAATCAGGCGACAATAACGTTTTGAATGAGGTTCCACTAAATGCAACCCTGCCGGCACGACAGTCCGCTGAGAGTCCGAAATAAGTCCCAATTGAACATCAGTCGGAATGTCAACGGGCTGTGGGGAAAATGTTTGCGGCGCACCCCTTATGTCTCTAGGTGGAGCCAGGATAATAAGAAATATAGGACCCTATATTTTTTACTACCCTAGTCCCACCTGCTGCCTTGGTTGTAGCACGTGAACGCAGCTAACGCACTCAAGTTTGTCCGAACACAGAAATTGTTCGTTTATACGAAAAAATTACATATTCGTCTCAGATACGAGTCGGTTCCGCTGGAAGAAGGTCCTCACTGTCATGCTGGGATGTATGCTGCATCCAACGTCTGGTACTGCAATAAACCGGCCACAAATTCTCGACAGTCCGAGGGGGACTGTCAGCGGACTGGTGACAACCCGACAATGTATTGGTAGGGGAGCAATTCCACGACATTTAGAGCAAACTATCGTATTAAGTAATTCCTCGTTGAAGGTTATACGCCATACTCTGTAAGAAAAATAGGTATTGCATCAAATCGGTTACAAATTTTCGACAGTCCGACTGTGCTGGCAGGAGAATACGAAGATATAGAATAGCTAAGTGGAGGTATCGTTAACATCAGATTCAATTTTTTCTTTGTATTTCAGGAGGCAAAAGAGAGACCATAGAGGGAATATAGGTTCAGGGTGCAGATAAAGAAATTTTGGTGGTACTATTGCTGCCATATAACTATCCATGTACGTGGGATAAAGAGGTATGAAATGCACCCCGTTATTGAGGCAGGCGCATTCGAGACAGCGTGGAGAACCCCGCAGAGCCCTCAGCTAGTGAACACAGTGACAGAGGTGAAGCGCCACAGACGCAGCATCAATGTGACGGTTGACAAATACATGACAGCTCCAACCCCATGGGGATTTCTAAGGAATGGGCGGTAGTGTATTCGACAGTAGCACGAACCAAATGGACGAAAGTGTTTTCCTGCTAACCGAATGCGAGTAGGGGAGGTAACATAGCCTAACCTATGCCATAACCGAAAAGTGTCATGCATAGCACATTTGACCTAAATCAGAAATCGAACTCATAATAGCCGAAGGAGGCAGATAAGAGATGAAGTTGTGATGAGCGACTGCTAGAAAGATAGCGTAGTTCACGCCACTAACACGTCTCCCTGAACGAATAAACCGGAGAGATCGCGTAAGTTTAAGGAACTGATGCTGTGTACAATTATGGGTCACGAAATTCTCTTCAATTGATGTTGACATCTCCAACTTCAATTCACAATCACAAGAGAGTAAGCGAAATTAAATGCAAGGAGAGAAGAGGTGAATCAACTGAATCCAGTTCAGTTCAGCTGAACTGCTGTGATCCGAGTGCGACTGCAGACTAGTGGCGTCATTGTAATAATAAAAATAATGATGCTAATACTGCCAGGGAAATTCGACAAAACGTAAGTGGGATACGAAGAAGAGTTAGGAAAAAAGTGGTGACAATTGATCAGACTGAAATGAAGCAGATGGATTCAAGAGACTGGATGAGGGAGCGTCATCATCGGAAGATGTTGGCAAATGTGTATGCGCAAAGGCGGCAGTAATGAAATTTGAATGGAACACATTGAAGCCAATGCATCTATGATCGGTCATATAGTTATCGAATGCCTGAAAGCATCAGCAGTACGCATCCAATCTGATTGGTGTGGGACTAGAACTCGCAGCCCAACCCTTATCAGTTAGTGGTTCAGACCAATTAACTACGCGGGACGATAACAATCGACACGACAAAGTTATTAGATGTGCTTTAGCGCGACCCCTATGACTATCAGACACTACGGTGTAGAGGACACAGTACTCCCCGATCGACGGCATCCGAGGAGAAAGCCGTTAGATTAACTTGTGGCATTATAAGCAGTCTGTACGGAGTAATTAATACAGAGAAGACGCCGTTTCCCGGAAGTCACTCTGCCTCTACACCAATGCATTAACGCGCGAGTCAATGAAGTGTGAGACCAGCTATAGTACCTCTGCGTCAATCAAGTGGATATTTTGGTATGAAGCAGAAAATAAGTGTCAGACGGTGTGAGCCCGGAATGGGACGCGAATTTGCTGACCAACCATGCGAGTGGACCCGCCCACTTTACAAGTTGAAGTAAAAGCGAGCCACCATGCGTCTGGCATGTGAATTCACAAGACATCGCCCGCAACCAGCACAACTAGCGCGTTTGCTATCGCATTAATTCGTTCGCGCGGCCAAAGGCTGCGTGGACTAAAATGCTGGCTCTAAGCTAAACGGCCGTGAATTCAAGTCTCGAAGGATCCAGAGAGAACGCATACTGTCAACCAGCATCAATAAGAAGCGGCTGTCCAGTGTGCTTCCGGAATGTGTTGGCTGGTTCATCGATTCTAGCTTTGATAAATAGAACAAATGCTGACGGATTCACTAGAGTCACGCGTTGGTAATGGAAAATGGAAATCTGAAGAACACTAGAACGAACATCTTGGACAAGATCTAAGAACTCGCTGAACATTGGACAAAACGGGTCATTCTCGCGTGTGAATAACGTGTAGGTGGCCTGCACACTTGAATTCCATTGCCAAGTCCCTAGCTTTTTACAGATAATGCGTGGTGAAAAACATGTTGCACGACGCAAGCATTACTTGTGTTTCCGCTCATGAACGGATGTGCATCCTGTGACTATTAACAAATTGGGAGTTGAGGTTAGGAGATATCGGAGCCGCCCAACTCACCTGAATATCTTTCTGCGAGGCCTTTAATTCATGCACCCTTTGCCGCGCCGTTGCCAAACTGTCTTCAATGCTGTGATGCTCGGGAACATTGCAGAATAGTGATCCGGGGAAGTCCCTCATCACATCTATCACCGGTGGATATCGTGGATTTGAGGGGGCATGAGGGTCCGCACCAGTGGTCAAACCCGCCTGCATTGATTGGGCCCGCCGTACTGAAACAACAAAGGCCGAGTCAGGGTAAGTGGCTGGGTCAGGAGCAGGATCTACTCTTACAATGACATCCAATGATAAAACCATTGGAGAGGATTACTGGGACAAATATGTGCGCTGGAGAAGATGTGCGTAGAGAAAATGGTTCGAATGTGTGCGATGCAGGACTAAACATTAACATGACATCAGCTTTCTTGGAGCAACCACAAGAACCGCGAAAATAGTTACCCATGAATCTGTAAGCAGAGAGACGGCAAATTAGCCTAGCTGCGATGTGCTTCTGGGTTGAGAAGTAACCGGCGCTAGAGTCAGTAATTTCCCGACAAGTATAGTTTCAAGGTCCTTGAAGGTAAAACGTTGCCAGGTTCGAAGAAGCTACGGTGGACAAACACCTTACAGGCTGTTCGGTGGCAGTGTATAGAAAGTAATAGATTTCTAGAATATAGTGTAATCGCTCTGACTGAATACAGCCTTGAAATTCAAAGCACGACAGAGATCCCAACTCCAATGGACAGTAGTGAAACTATGAATGATCTCGATTATCGAACACACATTCAGTAAGAGTAATCGAGATTGATGGGAGAGGCGGAAGCAGCGGGGCATTGCTTCAGCGATTATGTACAAGAAATAGCATATGGACGAATCAAAGTACATGGTTGCGTCAGCGATTATGATATATTGTGGGAGTAAGCGAAGAGAAATGGGTTTCCATGTCAGTGCTTGTTTCCACCAGCACAGAGAAACGGCAAATTACACTCAAATCAGGGAGCAGGGGCCATACCTTGTGACGAATTAATCGACTGGTCGGACCGCAGCACCTGGACAAGTCGGTTAAGCTCCACGAGCCCAGTCTGCAGCTGTTGCAGATCTTCCGGAGAAGCGTCAGCTAAAAAGTAAGCGAACATTGAGGAACAGCAAATAGTAAATAATAGGAAAGATTTTCAGGTAGGATTTGCGACTGGTTCAGAAGGCACTGACACCAAGACAAGCATGTCCAAATTTAAAAATGCAACGTGTCTTAATTTTTACGCCAGCTTATCAGGCAAATGATGTGGCGTGGAAAGACATAAATGGGAGTAGCAGACATTGTGATCTCCAAGGTGTAAAGCATCATCCGACAGCATGCAAGAGCAGCCGTATTGCTTGAGTTATACCGGGTTATCCGACTCTACTTGAATCCAACTGCATTTGCGTTTCCAGATGGGACCAACGAAAGACGTATAAATGGGGTGATGGGAGAGGGCACTACGACTAACGCGAGGGTCACATCTCTAAAGTGTTCATAATACACAATTCTGCTGCCAAGCCTCTTGTAATCAACACACGGGATACTTCAAAAACAATGGGTAGCTGTGAAAAGCCATCGAGCCAAACTGCATCCCAGATAATCCAGTTAGCTTTTCAAACCCAGATGTAGCGTCTGGTAGACAGAAAATGGTACCGTAGGCACAGATCCCGAAACCGTTCACTGTGAGGCGTTTTGATGCTGATAGATCATCGGCCTGAAAATCTGTACCACCCGCAACGACTGTGACACAGAAACCTTAGTTATTCAGGGAAAGCTATGCGGATAATGTAACTCTGATAAAGTTCAAGCCATCGTCAGTGAGAGCACATGATGAGACGATGAAAACTGCTTCCTAGTACTCAAGCTAAAGCCTCCAAGTCAACTGGACACCATTTTCGAAAATCAACTCAAGCAGAGAACTCTGTATAGGTAGGGAGAACGATCGATGCCGTAACCACTGCAACTCATCGACTCAGAATCCTCGAAGACGCAGTCCCGGTGGAACTGGAGTCTCGTGGATCCAGAATCATCAAGACAGACTTGTTTTGAGCGCATCTTTCGAAGACACATATATCAACCCCGAGGGTGTCAAGTTACAGCAAGTGTCGCCTGCAGATCAGACTGACGCATTATGTGTAACTTGAAAGATTGATGCTCTGTGACACTTCGGTTCGACTGCTGACTCATAAGGCAGTGTGACTCTAGACTTCTGCTAGGATCTGCTTGTTATCTTGGAAGATTTTAATCTAAAGCAGTTGTGCAGGTTTTTCAATCGATGCACAAGAGTGGAACATTGGCAGAAGGTGAACGAATACCCTGAAGTGCATACAAAATGGGTGAACACAGTCTTACTAAAGATATGAAAAACCAAGCAGAAGATTGACGCATGATAAGATCACGTTGCAACCAAGGCGCTTTGCCCGAAGCTGTCCCAAACGGTAGGAAGGAAACCAGTCAGACAGCCAGAAGAAAGGAAAGAGAGATTTGGATTACACGGTGAGTGTAATGTCTCCGATCGCGTGACAGCAAGCAACACTACCGCCAGTACATGCACGTCACAGGATATCACATATGACAAACGTTTTCGCATAGTGAAAAAAACATCCAAGAGTTGAGTGTTAGAAGCTGATTGTGAGCATACGTTAGAGAAGTTACGTGCAACGAAGTGCGATGGACGCAGCGGCTGCAACTCGCATTGGAATTATGTTGAAGGAGAAGAGTCCAACAAGATAAGGTGAAAATGTGAAATTAAAAGATAATTGGGAACAAACTGAAGTAGTGACAGTAGGGTGTAGTGGGTTGAATAGAAGAGCATCCTTGATTTAGAGGTTGCGCGGCATCCCATGTGTTGGCTAACCTGCGAGGTAGATGACCCCGAGGCTAACTTTCGCGAAGAAGACACGCATCATGCTAACTAAGCCTCAGACAATTCTCCCGCATTTAATGATGTGTTATCGGCTGGTCACAAAAGCCCTTAATTAGAACAAGTGTGGCGAGGGTGGGTAATTGACGCAATCGCTGCCTTCGCAGCTTATCTCATGTCTGGTACGAACACCGAGTGAGCAACAACATGTTCGGCGTCGTGTAACTTGTGAAGGAAAAGTAAGTGAACTATTCAGCACCATTATAACACGCACCAGGAGGCTTCGATGGCTGGGCCACGTGTTGCGCATGCCAGCACAGCGACTCTCGCGACGTGCGTTGTTTGTGCGCAAGGGGAATGAGAGAGGGGAAGTCAACTGATAACCGAATCAAAAGGAATGAAGATCCTCACTTCGAATTTAGTGTAGGTTAGTGCCTCCTGACTGACGGGCTGGGGTCCGAGGAACGATGAAAACGTGTGGTTGGATACACTAGTTGAAATGGCGTAGAGCCAACTCGGTGCGGAATCTGATAATTAGCATTATATTCCTTTTTGAGTTTGTATTCCACAATATTTAGGAGCTTTTTTGTATTGCAGTACACTAGCAGGGGTGTGTTTCTCACCCTCAGATATGCTGAATTAATGATGATGATGATGAGGAGGAGGACGCTGATGAATTTATCTCACACATGGACAGTAGGTCAAGTGAGGAACATGAGTTAGTCGACAAAGGTAATGCATATTTAAGAGCGGATGTTGCCAATCTCAAGCCAGCAGGGCTTCAGTATCCTCCACTCACCTCGCACGGTAGATCTGAGCGATGTATTGCAGGTGGCAAAGGACGACCAGTCTCATAATGTCATAGCGATTAGATGGTAACGAGCTTAAGCCAAACACTAGCAACTGCCACACTATAGAGCGGTAAAGCGAATCATCGAAGGATAGTCTAACATCATCAGATCGTCTACACAGATGAATGAGAGTTGAAAAGGTTACACGGGCTTTGACTGTAGATGCGGTGATGCGATCGCAAGGAGCGGTAAAGCAAGTAAGCGAGAATGAACTCACTCGGGTGAACGCCTAATAAATGATTGAGAAGACTGTTCAATCGTGAAATCTCCTTTCGTTGATGACCCAAAGCGGATCGAGCACGATCAAGTTCCTTTTGCTGGTTGTCTGAGAAGAAACGGCAAGACAAAATCATAGTAAGAAGAACACATGAATGAGTGTGCCAACAAATACGGAAAAAGGGTTGGCAAACGGTGACTGAGGGAATATGTTGTCTAAGAAGTAGTGGTTAGGAAGGAATACGCGATGCGAACAAGCCAGGACCCCATCGCCGCGGCAGACAATCCAAACTCATCCGCCCTGATTGGGGCGAACAGAGAGCCAACCGGGAGAAGCGGCCAATTAACGCGAGGGCGGCGTTTCTTGATTTGCTGTTAGTTGACCTTTCCAGAGCTTTCCCGCTGGCGACGGGTTGAACCCTAATCAAGATGTTCATATCGGCTGACGAGCTCAAGGCCATTCTGCTGCAGCATCAAGCGCAATTTGAGGCATCCCAACTCGGGCTGATCGAAACTCTTAGGCGACAACTCTCAATCCAGACCGGTTCACTGTCTAAAACCGTCAAGCCGTCCGCATCGGTAGACGCCATCACTAACAGCATTACCGAATTTTTGTACGACCCTGATGCTGGCCTCACTTTTGAATCTTGATTCAAGCGTTATGAAAATGTGTTCCGCGTTGAACTTGACGACCATGATGACGATTGGAACGTCCGATTGCTGCTAAGGAAACTCGGAACAGTAGAGGACTCCAGGTATGTCAACTTTATTTTGAATAAGAGCGCTCGAAACTGCATTTTTGGGGAGATTGTCAAATGTTTGGGCCAAATATTTGGAGAACAGTCATCCATCTTCAACACGCGATATCAATGCCTGAAGATCATCAAGGTGGACGCTGATGACTACGTCACTTACGCTGGCAACGTCAATCGCGAGTGCGCAAAATTCGACAGCAAATCCATCACAGCAGATCAGTTCAAATGCCTAATTTTTATCTGTGGCCTACATTCCCCACGGGATGCAGAGATTCGTACCAGACTGTTGAGTAAACTTGAACAAGACCAGCAAATGACTCTACAGACCATAACTACTGAATGCCAATGAATGCTGAACCTCAAGCATAACACGCTTATGCTGGAGAAGCAACAAGCAACCCCAAGTCTTAGTGCATAAAAAACTACCTCAAAGAAACTGCTTCCAAGTGAAACAGGCCATGAAAAGCCCAGAGAGAATCCCAAGCCCCCGACTGCCTGTTGGAGATGTGGTGAATGGCATTTCCTTCGAGTGTGTCCATTCCTGAAACATGTTTGCCATAAGTGTCATAAACGGGGCCATAAGGAAACACACTGTCGATGCAGACTGCAGTTCAAGCGTGCTAGGCATACGCGACCGAATTCAAAAGTCCCCCAAAGATTCAGCAGCTACAGTACGGTTCAAGTGGGCTACTCTGATGAACGTGTGGCTCGCAGAAAGTACATCAGAGTTCACCTGAACGGGTAACAATTGTGTCTTCAGCTAGATACAGCCTCGGATATCACAATTATCTCTAGCAAAAAATTGGCAGTATATTGGTGCTCCGTCAATCAGCCGAACGACACATGTTGCACTTAACTCTTCAGGAGTTCAACTTAATCTCATTGGTGAGTTGTAGTGTGAAATGGTTTTTGGCGCTACTCGGGCAAACGGTGTCGTGTACACTACGGGCCTGTCACATTTGAATCTTCTTGGACTCGACTGGATCCAGAAGCTCCACCTGTTAAACATTCCCCTGAGTCAAGTCTGCAATACTCTCCGGCTCGGATATACGAGGCCCTCTTCGGAAGGTGACAAACCAAACAACAACCTGATCGAGCAGCTACGAAGGAAATTCCCGTCTGTGTTTCGCAACGACTTGGGAAGATGCACAAAGATCAAAGCAAGCTTTACTCTCAAAGACGGTGCCAAATCCGTGTTCCGACCCAAAAGCGGTTACCATACGCTGCGCTTCCGATTGTTGATGCGGAACTTGATAGTTTGGAGCGGGTCGGCGTCATCCAACCTGTGAACTATTCAGCGTGGGCAGCACCTATTGTTGTCGTCGAGAAGACCACTGGAACCGTTCGTATCTGTGCTGACTACTCTACGGGATTGAATGCTGCTTTGAAAATGCATCAGTATCCTTTGCCAGTCCCAGAAGATTTATTTGCTAAGCTCAGTGGTGGCGCTTACTTTGCAAAGCTAGATTTATCAGATGCTTATCTTCAAACTGAAGTCGACGATGCTTCGAAGGAGTTGTTGGCAATCAATACGCACCGAGGTCTTTACCAGTTCAACCGTTTGCCGTTTGGTGTCAAATCAGCTCCTGCGATTTTTCAAGAGATTATGGATACGATGTTAGTTTGGATATCAGGAGTCGCAGCTGACTTGGACGACGACGAAAGGGACTACCTTTCGAGAGCTGACGGAAAGACTGAAAGCAGTTCTCAATCGCACTAATGACTATGGTTTTCACTTGAAAGCAGAAAAGTGCAATACCGGCATGAAGTGTGTAAAGTATCTTGGCTTCATCATCGACAAAGATGGTCGTCGTCCGGATCCTTCCAACATAAGTGCCATAAAACAGATGCCTCCCGCCTGACGATATCGCGAAGCTAAGATCATTCTTTGGGTTGATCAGTCATTACAGCTCATTTGTGCACGAAATGCATCGGCTACGAGGACCGCACAATGAACTTCTTGTAAAGGATCGCAAATTTGTGTGGTCTCCTGAATGTCAAGCCGCGTTTGATAATGTGAAGTCTATATTGTGTTCTGACCTATTGCTAATCCATTGGGATTTCCCCGCGTTGGTTCGAATCCCACCTCCGTCGCCAGCGGGAAAGCTCTGGAAAGGTCAACTAACAGCAAGTCAAGGAACGCTACCCTCGCGTTAATTGGCCGCTTCTCCCGGTTGGCTTTCAGTGCGCTCCAATCAGGGCGGGTGAGTTTGGATCGCCTGCCGCGGCAATGGCGTCCTGAATTGTTCGCATCACGTACTCCTTCCTAACACTTGTATTGTACGATTTCAGATTGGGGTTGACTTGCATGGGTGACACGAATTTGCGTCGCCGCTTCGGACTCTGTGCTGCTGGGTTTCGGGGCGAATGTTGTGGTTACTGTGTTGGGGCAAGTTGGGGAGTCTTCGCTTCACTCGCATCGGCCAGTATGTTCATAGGTAACTGCGCTGCCGGTACTTGTTGTTGCAGTTGTTCACCAGTCCCTGCCTCTAGCAGCTGATTGGCATGTCTTACCCAAATTGCCGTCCCAACTTGGATACCGTAGATCACATTACCACGTTTGTATAGCACACGGCCCATAGCCCATTTAGGATAGTGGATGCGATAATCTCTCGCCAAAACTTGTTGAACAACATTAAAGGTTCGCTTCCGAGCACCGTGTTGGATGTTGAATTGACGCTTCATCTGATAGTTGCGGGACAGTAACTGATCTTTCCCGAGTCTGAGGGCATCATGTGGCACACGGATTTTCCTTTGAAACCAAGTTTCAGCCGGAGATAGTGCGTTCGGTGTCTGCAGATTCCGAGTTGTGCGATACGTCAGAAGAAATGTGTCAAGAATCTCCTCCGAGGTACTTCAGGAGGGTTGCAACACACAAACACACATAACCCATGGGACAACGGCTAAACCACTATATAGCAAGATCCCAAAGCGTGCGTATATTCCTCCACCTAAGTGCAATACTTAAAAACCAGCCAATCCTCACTAAATGGTTTTCATGACCGGCCACAAAAGACAAGTTGAGTTGTTGTTGCGGTTTGTTTTTAGTGACAACTGTTCAGCTCGGCATTGTTAAACAACTGCGACGCCAGCACCGAAGTATGGCGCACCTAATCACTATGACTCGGGAAGCAGGCGCTACAGTAACTAAAGCTGAAGAGAAAAAGGGGTATAACGTAAACAGAATACGAAGAGTGATTTAAGAGAGAAGTGAGTAAAGTTGATCAGAATAGAATACTAACAGCCAGATGCAAGCAAGAGAATGCAGGAAAGCCACTGACTGCGCCACGTGTGGACGATCCCGGCATCATCATCTACAGGCCTGACCAAGTCTCTCAGTCAATTTCTTCATGTCCTTACGCCAAGTCATCGATTGGCCACCTCGCGGTTTTGCCAGACAGGATATAATATACAACGAAAAAAGCGGCCAACGGGCATACTGAGGACGAGCTATCTAAAGTAAGCGGTTTAAGTTTGACAGATTCTCCGGTGATGCACCAGAGGAGATCTTGAAAAAAAAACTGGTGGACCTCAGGTTTGCTCACCAGGCGTTCCCGCCAGATCGGAGTAGTACCATGCAGGCAATGATGAACAAAGGCGACCAATCCAAATTGTCTTCAGTAAGAAATGGCTAGACCTCTGATTCATAAAGCAACACCAGCTTTATCACAGAGGTCTACACCCTCAACTAAACTGAACAGCTGATCTCTAGCCGCCTTCATAGACGGGTTAATCTCTGAAGAGTCGCACGGTCTCTGCGAAGTAATCTCTCAAGAGATGACAAGAAAAACAAAGTAAGTTAAATGATCGACCAATTCCAGTGGCTGCTCTATGATAGCTAGAACAGGTGTAGTGCCGGCCCAGTCCAACAGTACTCAGCGCTTTGGAAGCACAACGAACATGCTAAAGCGTGTAGTGCTATGCATCATACTAGTAAGTAGTCGCTGCATAAACACTCAAGGAGAGCTATGTTGTCCGCATACTCAAGGTTTGTCAGTCAGTCACATGGTAAGAACTTGACTCCGACAGAAACTGAGAGGACACCATCATGTATGCCAATTTCGATAATAAATTTGGGGAGGAAGGTAGACGTAAGATGATCGTAAGAGACCCAAGCTCTCCCGTGAACCTCGGCCTCGGAAGTCACGGTGAGAGAACTTCAGGATGGGAAATTTTCATGGACGATCTTCACGGTTGGACAGCAACACAACCTTGCATGGTTACTTGAGTCGAAGACGGCAGTTCAAGGATAATCACCACGGTCGGTCGTTTAAGACTGTCACCGTTCCAACGCAACCACAACGGAGTGGGAGAGAGCGCAGCTCCCAATGATTCGCCTGTCACCGGTAAGTCG